ATGGTTTTCTTAGAGGAAGGAATTATCTATCTTAAGGCTAATATATCAAGAACTTGGAGGAATGAGTGAGTTGGCTTGTTCCAAAGAGACAAATCTTCTCTGGAAAGGAAAATATAAGGTTATCTCAAAAATACAAAGCTCTACCCTCTTTTCTTCTTCTTCTTCTTCTTCTTTTTTTTTTTTTTTTTGGTTGTTTTGTTGTTGTTTGGTGATTAGAAACAAGTTCTCCACCCATTGGGTGACGTTTTTCTCCTTAACAATAGTATTGAAAATGAAGCCTGAGAGCCAGCACCCAGTAACTGCACCTATCTCCCTCTGTGTGCCCAGGGTGCTTCCCTTTAAGACAGACCCACAGATGATGGAGAAGAGGAGCCTCTGTACAGGAAGTGGGCCCCATTCCAGGCTTCCAAGGATCATGACAGGGTCTCTGATGGGGAAGGGGACACTGAGAAGTCACCAGAGTGCTAAGGATGGCAACCTCCACGGAGCTTCGTGGTGCAAGGCAACAGTGTGCAGGTGCGCAGATGACAAAGGGGGCCAGTCCCTGCCTGGCCCAGGTGCCCACAAGCTGTCTAACAAATAGGTACATATGCTACAAAAGCAATTTGCTGAAGTAAGTGGCCCTTTCACATCCACAAAAGCAAGTCCGTTCATAATGAACTGCACAGAACTCACAAAATAGAACATGTGCGTTCTGTTTGATCAGGAGACTAAGTGACACATTATGACTGTAATGAGTCATTTTTTTCTTTTTACACAAGAAAAATATTATAGATCTTTGAAAGCCTTGTACTCAATTATGTAACAATACCAACATCTGCTAACAGTACAGGCCGTTTCTATTCTTCATCCTGAATTGTTTTACGTAATTACGAGTTTATAAGGTATTTGGTAAACCAGTAAGAAGGTACCTTTTTAAAGCACTATGTAATTTGGGGTACAATGAAATGTTCTCTCGAAAATCTATAATTAGGGCAGCATCAGCTTACAGAAAAGCACAGGAAATGTTATAACAACACAATTATGTAAATAGGCGCATAGGTAGGGAAATGAACCATTGGCTACGGTCCCCACCCCTCTCTTTCCTTTCTCTTCTATTTGAATTCTTCTTTGCTCATCTCAAGTTAAAGTACTACTTCCACAGGGTGCAGAATAAAGGAACTTGGGGAAGAGAAAATGGGGAGGTTGGCCTCCCCTGGAGAGTTCTTCAGGCCCGAGCTGGAGAAGCAGAGGCCTGGGGAGTGTGCAGTGCTAGACCCTGACAATGCTCCAGCCTTTGTGTGGATTTTTTAAACGATAAAATATTTTTACTATTATGAATTCACTGAAGGAATTCAGAAACGAATATGCCAAAATGTTGGCTGTGTTGGACAGAAATTCAGAAACTAAAATATATCAAGGCAAAGCAAACAGAACTAGAGATGATGTGATACCGTGTCGTAGACTGTTGGCCAAGAAAATCAATCAGAAAACAACCCAACAAGCCCCACCCAGTGGTCCTAAGCAGTGGGACTGACCTCTACCAGGGGAGGGGCCTGCTCGGCAGCCCTATAGTTTGTAATTCTGATTTAGCTCAGAGGCTTAGCTTGGGCTATGAGATGAACTGCTACACCATACGCAGTGCACTTCGTATCGAAGGGACACTTGATGCAGAAAGGGGACAAGACCTGTGGAGCCATGTGGTCGACCTGGGAAAGGGAGACTTGGCCCCCGTGCCGGAAGCAGCAGTGGGTAAAAGCCAAATTCTTGGAAGCCAGCCAGCTTGACTGTGACATCCCAACCAGATGCCACTTCTCAGCTGTTGCCCTAACTTCACAAAACAAATTTCACCTCTTAAATCAAGGTAATATATGTATTGAATGATGGTGTTGGGAATACATTTATAAAGGTTTGCAAAGCACCAAGCAAGAGCCTGACAGTAACTACTCGTCAGAAATATTATTTCAGTCTCCTTTCCAAACATCTCTGGATTACCCAGAATGAGGCAGTGGCAGACGTTTTTCGCATAACATTGTAGGACATAGTGGACCAGCCATTTCTAATTGTAGTTCTAGCTTTATGGCTTCACTGTCATGAGCAAAAAGATGAAATTCTTTAAACACCACATCAGACTTTCGAATCAAAGGCAGGTAAGAGAACTTCTAGATCAGGCAGCAAGGGACTCTGTGGTTGTCCTTTTCTTAACACACAGGCATACAGAGAATTAGAGAAATAGTTTGGTTCACTTATTCATTCAAAAACCACTTTAATGAACGCACAGCAAAAAACAGCACCTGACCTCAAACACCATAACCTGGTCAGACAGAAAAGATGCTCAGGAATATCACAAAATAAAACATACCTGAGCACTACTGAGAATGTGATCCATATGGAGTAGGTATGTGTTTTGTTTTTGTTTTATGCTGGGGATTGAACCCAGGGGCACTTAACTACTAAGCCACATCCCTAGCCCTTTTTAATATTTTATTTCGAGGCAGGGTCTTACTTAGGTCTCACTAAGTGCTGAGGCTGGCTTTGAATTCATGATCCTCCTGCCTCAGTCTTCCAAGCTGCTGGGATCACTGAAGTAGATTTTTTATTTTAGACCCTCTACATGAAACCTTCCCGGCTGGAAGGCAGTGAGAACAATGATTTGATACTTAGGATGTAGAGAGAGACCTCTAACTCCACCAGGCAGAAGCTTGGGAACATCACTACTTAACGCCCTGTGTCTCAGATTCCTTGTTCTTAAGTGCATACGACACAAGGTCTTCCTGAGAATGCTCAGAACGCAGAAATGCCAAGTATTTGATGGCCATTGTATGTATAACAACTGCTTTTGCTATTCATTCATGTCTACAGAAGGGAAATTCAGTGAAAATTTGGACACAGGGATATTTGAACCAAAGGCTCTTCAGGCCAATTACTTTTCTTCATATACGCTCATCTTAAGCAGAAATAAAATTCCTACCATCCCCATATTGTTCCAACCTCCCTCTACAATGCACAGAAAGCTGCAGAATCACCTCGACGGCCCCTTCGGCCTCTTTCCCACGGTCAGCTCCCTCCTCCCCAAGAACAAAAAGGCGGTAGCTGTACATATGACCTGCTGTGCCTCACCTCAGCTCCCACAACCTCCCAAGGTGGCCCTGAGAATGCAGGCACTCTGCCTTCTGCTCTTCCTTCCCCCTCTTTGCTCTGCTTTATTTCCTTTTCTTTTTAATAATCCTCAACTGTGTGAGGTGGTTTTACTTGTTTGTTTTGCAGTGGTGCCGGGAGTTGAACCCCAGGCTTCATACCTACTAGGCAAGCGCTCTACACAGAGTCACATCCCCAGCCCGGCATGACTGATCATCTGCATATAACAGAGAGCCCTGCCTGGTTGCAATGACTCCATGAGAATTTCCCCCAAACCCCCATCCTTCACCCTCCGATATATTTATCTCATATAATAACTGTATAAATCGTAACTACTCAGTGAGTTTCAGAGTCTAAAGGGCCCCAAATGCCAAAAGTCACTGCCAAAAGCTTTAGTCACAGAAGTTAGGATCATTTCCCTGTGGACTAATTTGCAAATAAGTGATAGCTATCTAATCAAATCTCATTCTTTCACTGTTATAATTAAATAATGCTACACAAGAGTTCATGAAATAAGACTAGGGGACATTTCCCTTGTGTCTATAATCCTGAGACCAGAAGTACTGGGTATCGGCCATTCTGTTGCCTGGCAACACTTCCTCGGGGTTGGAAGCCAAGGCAGGCTGAGCCTGGAGAGGTGGATAGAGTGGTCCCTCATCCTCGGCATCTATCTTAGTTCACTCGCCCCGATGAGGGATGGACCTCCGGTTCTCAGGTTAGAAACTGGACTTCCTCTATCCACTCAGAATGGATCATTCTCAGTTGGATGGATTTTCTTCTAAAACTCCCAAGAAACTATGTGTACGGCATTTTATAAATTTACAATCTGAAATAGATTTGTTCAGGGAAACAGGACATCCCCTAACTGTAGTGTGGAAGTGTAAATTAGAGTCTGTGGTTGTTTACTAAACACAGAAGCAAAAGAGGCCCTCCTGGTCCCCAAAACAGCTCTAAGGTAGCAAGGGGCTTCTCACATGGCCAACCAGAAACCCCCAGAAGGCTTGTTAAACAGGACTGCTGCTCTCTCCAGAGCTTCTGGCTCAGGTGGGCAGGGCGCGTCTCTAACAAGTTCCCAGAGGACACTGATCTCGCATCCCACTGTGGGTGAGCACAGGCCTTCTCCATTCATGGCAGGCAGAGCCTTTCCAAGGGGAGGAGGGCTCTGGTCTAGACTCAGTGGCCATGTGCCACTAAACGTTGGGGCTGTGACTCTTGCTCCAGGTAGGAAAACCTCTGAGTGGCACATTCTCTCTTTCTGTACAGTAATCACAGATCAACTTAGGAAATGACAGGTACGGGGCTGGGGTGTACAAAACAGGTTCGGGTCCTGACGCTGTGGCATGTTACTCTACATTCTAGGCCTCAGTTTTCTCATTTGTTACATGGCGTGAACACGGCTTATCTTGTAGAACTTTTAAAAATTATTAGTGTCATAAAAAACATGTAAAACTTCTTTAAGATTTGAATGAGGGGCTAGGGGTATAGTTTGGTGGTAGAGTGCATGCCTAGTATGCACAAGGCCTTCAATCTCTAGCTCACACACACACAAAAAAAGAAGAAAAAAAGATTTATAATATGATATGAGAGTATAAATTATCTGGCACAATGCCTGGAGGTCGTACCTGCGTTAGCTATTAATACAACCTTATTACAGACTGCACTGTATCCCACCAAATTCACATTGGAACCTAAACCCATGTAGGACTGTATTTGGAGCTGGGCCTATAACAAGGTAACAGATTTAAGCAGGCTGTAAAGTTGGGTTCTTATCCAGCAGGACCAGCATCCCCGTACGAATGGAAGAGACAGCAGGAGTGCGCACACAAGAAAGGCCCTGTGAAGACAGCCGACTAAAACCAAGAGAAGACGACGAAGGCCAGGAGAAGACAACCCCCCACACCCTGACGCTGGATTTCCAGCCTCCAGAACTGTAACAAAACTCTGTTGTTGAACCACACAGTCTGTGGTATTTTGTTATGAGACGGCCAAGCCTACTCACAAGAGGTGCCTCTCTCAGGTATCTTTTGCCTATATCTAGTCTCACTCATTGCATGTCTCAAAGCTTGGGGTGTGTTTTGGTGTTAATTGTTACAATTCATTAATTTTTCTTTGACCTCAATGTTGCTGTCCTGAGTCTGAGCATACACATTATCAGAAGACCAAGGTTAGGGAAGGAAACATGTTAGTACAGAAGCCAAGGCCTCTCCATAGTCCATGAGTAACCTGAGGGTGGAGGAGACCTCAGTGCTCACTGTCCTCTGGAAGGAGGTTCTCTTTAAAGGTTTACTAATTTCATATGAACCAAAACCCGACATAACTGCCCAATATCTGGGCAACTGGGGGATTGTTCCTTTGATTTCTTGGTTTATTAAAAATGAAAGTCCAAGGGAAGTTTGCAAGGGAACCTCAAATAGAATGCATATGTTATTATATAGACATTAAATATAAATCTTTTGAAAAGAAACTTTAATATTAAAAGAAATTATCCCTAAGGAGAAATGTGGCCTCAACAAATGATAACAAAATATAAATACTAGATCACTGTTGCCCTTGATCTGAGGTCTGCAGGAAGAAATCACACCCCGAGTTCTACAAATCTTATTAGAATTTGGAGAGTCTAAAAACACATCCCCCCTTTTTTTAACACTATGCATTTTAATACCAATCACCTCAATCTGAAGAAGGCCCCAGGAGAAAATGTATTCAACCAGAATAGTTTAGCTCTTTTCCTGGATGGCAGGACTCCATTTTTACCTGGTTTCCTAATTCAACTAAGTTCAGAGGGAGACCAATCTAAGAGTAGTTTCCAAACATCATCTGTGAGAAGAGGAGGAAGAGGAGGGAGATAAGGAGGAGGAGGAGGAGAAGGTAGAGGAGGAGGAGAAGACTCTGTTATTCCTTCTTCCTAAATAACAGAAGCATGGTTTAACTGAATTTTCCTTCAAAACTCTGTATTCAAGCCAGGTATGGTGGCACATGCCATGCCTATAATCCTAGCTATTTGGGAGGCTGAGGCAGGAGGATCCCAAGTTTGATGCTATCTTGGGCAAGCCAGCAAGACACTATCTCAAAATAAAAGAAAGGGCTGGGAATGCAGCTCTGTAGTGCAGTGCATGCATGAAGCCCTGGCTTCAGTCCTCAGCACTGAACATCAAAGCAAAACAAGACAAAAACCCTGTATTATAGATTCTTAGTCTGGGGGCAATAAATTCAATCTCCTTCAAAGGTCTGAAGCAATAGGAACACACAGAGTAGTTTTTCCTTCGCTGCTTCTGTGATGTTTGAAAACTATCCACTGTGGGGGAAAAAAAAAACACCCGTTTTTTTAAGATCAGATATACTTAAGATTTGTATACATTAGGCCATCAAGTCCACATACGCTTTGGTCTTATCTTTGTCACAGGATGGGACAAACATGCTCCTTCATAGCCAAGTGCTTTGCAATGCACACTTGCATTCCATCTCCCCTGGAACAGCTGGAACACAAGCTCGAGCCGGGGAGGCCGCTGGCAGAGCCGAGGGCTCTGTGACAAGGCACCACCTGCCCCGCGCACAGTCTGTCCTGAGGGCCCAAGGCTTGCCTGCTACCTGCCAAATAAGAGAGGTGGACTAGTGGTCCTGGGAAGACCAGGCAAATCCATGGCCTAGAAAGAGCAAGGCCTGGACCAGAAGAAAGTACTTGGGAGGGTTTCTCTGCTAAAGAGTAAAGTCCTTGGCATCGGCATTACAAACTTGTCACCAACTGTTTACATCTCGAGGAATTGGAGATTAGCCACATCTCTCTGCCAAACCTCGAGCAGAACAATTCCCTCCCTGGGCAGCCAGCTCCTGGGTTCACCGGCTTTGTGAGCACAGCAGCTGAGCGAGGGGAAATAGCTTTCCCCAGCCTCTTCTGGCCGCAGCACAGGCTGGTTTTCAACTCGGTCAAAGGTGCTGTGCTGAGCGATGGCGGTGCGCTGCCTACACACGGGGGATTTCGCTACTTGGGGAGAGGCCTCCACATGTTACCACAGTCATGGTTTTCAACAATGACATGAACTGACATCGATTTTTTCTCCTGCTGTGCAAATGGGAGTCTTGTCTGCAGTCATTGCCAAGTTCCCAGATCCAGAGAACAGAGCCAATGCCTTGTTACAGGGATTTGATAACGCAGGGGGACAGCAGAATACACGTTCTCCATTATAAGGAAGAATGCTAACATAATGGAGATGAATCATTAAATGACCACTCTCATGTCAGGAAATACTGCTCCAACAGAGCTCAATATGGAGGAGTTCATTTTTAAGCACACTGGAAGAAAATGGCTGTCCATGATAGAATATTATGCAGCCATAAAAAAAGGATGGGGTGCTGAGACAATCTCCATGAATCTCAAAGAGACTGTTCTATTGAAAGAAGCCAGACACGAAAGTCACACAGGATGTGATTCCCTTTATGTGAAACATCTGGAACAGGAAATTCAGAGACTGAGCAGACTAGTGGTTGCTGGTAGGGGCTGCTTAATGGGATGGGCTTTCCTGCTGGGATGATGAAAACATGGTGGAACTGGATAGAGATGATTGTGGATGAGACGACTGAGGCACTACCCTGTGAATATGCTACTTATCGAAGTTTTAAAGTGGTAGATGATATGTTATGTAAATTTTAACTAGGGGGGAAAAGGAGTACATTTGTCCACACGAATGTTTTAAAGTTTTCATTTTAAGGCTCTTTACTCACTACTGTGGATGCCAACTGATTCGCGGCATCTCTTTCTGGATGTCTTCTCCACTATGTAGTGTGATAACTTCCCTGAGGGAAGGTGTCGCAGCTTGGATATGAGGTGTCCTCCCAAAGCCCCTGTGTCTGTATTCACAGGTGAAACGACTCAGTTATGAGAGCCGTAACCTCAGCAGCAAATCAATCCATTTGGTGGATAATGATCTGGAAGGATTTCCGTAGGGGGCGCTACCTTGGGAAGGAGGTGACTGGAGGAGATGGTCACTTCCCTCTCTGTCGGCTCCTGGCTGTGTCAGCTCCTGTGCCCAGCTCCCTCCACCATGCCCTTCCACAGGGATTCTCTGCCTCACCTAGAGCCCCGATCAATGGGACTGGCCAGCCATGGACTGAGCCTCGGAAATATGAAACTTTTCCTCCTCTGAGTTGTTTTTGTTGGGTGTTTTGGTCACAGCAACGAAGAGCTGACTAGCAGTAGGGGTTCCGGTGTCTGGAATATAGAAGACACTTTGTGAAGGAAAAAGGAAAACATCTATACTTTGGGAGGCCGACTTACCCATCTTCACCTGGCAAGAAAAGGCAGAGGGCTCTGAAACTCCCAGTGTTCAAGAATGTGGCTCCACGGGCTGGAACTACAGTGTTCCCAACGGGAAGTTCCTTTTAGGGAGAAATTTACCAGGTTTTACACACCTCACTGGATTCTCCATGAATTTATGTTTGTCTGGACATCACTGAGATTTAGACATAGGCTCACGATCCTTCTCTTGCTGACCTGGCTTCGAAGCCTCACTGAGAGAAGAGCAGAGAAAAACCTTGACATCCATTTCCTTTGCAGAGTCTTGAAGAATCACAGGAGTTTCTTGACGGGAGCCTGGAAAAGCCCTGCACCTCTGACTGCATCTGCTGGGACAGGCCTTCTGAGGCCGGCCTTGTTGCCACCAAAATAAAAAAAAAAAAAAATTTAAATTGCTGATGTCAAGAGGACTGGAGAGAAGGGGCTGGGGTTGTGGCTAAGTGGTAGAGCACAGCCCCACATACACACATGTGCTGTCTCCCAGTCTCTACCAGTACTTTAAAAACAAACAGAAAGAAGAGAGAGACAACACTGCTTCACCATTACACAGCTCACACTTCTTACTCAAGCTCGAGAACACTGGGCCTCTTAGATACGTACTTCAAAGCGGATTTCAGTAAATCTTTATTTTATATCCACAATTGTTTCATATTTTTATTTTCATTAATTTGGGGAGACGTGCTGGTGATGGAACCCAGGGCCTCCTGCATGCCAGGCAAGTGCTCTCCCAGAGAACTACACCCTCGGTCCTGTTTTCATTCATTTTTATATTCAAACAGTGAGAGAAAAAGAAGGGACACAAGCTTTTGCAAAGATGGCTTTCCAGCTGTTTTGAAGGAAACCCATTTCAGGCACAATAAAACTGAACATCCATCTAATGGAACACCTGTGACCCCCCCAATCCTGTGGTCTCCCCTGCCCCACCTTTCTGTGTTAAGGGAAGGGAGAGGGAACAAAGGACGCAGAGACAAGAGACGCAGAGCTCCTGAGGGACACAAGCGTGGCCTCTGCCTGCCTTGGACCGCAGGCTGTCTGGTGGCCATCCTGGGGTTCCATGTGTCTTGAGGATTCTGTCCTAGGACTCCAGCTGCCACCAGTGTAGTCTCCCAGGCAGCCTCCCCTCTATGGCTGTGAGCACAGTTCTGTGTCCTTCTAGAATGTCCCCCTTTCCTACTTGGCTGGCTCATGATCATTCCTGAAGTCAGAGCCAAGGTGTGCCCAGCTCTGGAAGCTTCCCCTGGACTCCTGGGGTGGGCAACAGCTAGCGGGCTCCGGGGCACCTCACTCTGCTTGTTTCCGCACAGGCCACGTTAGGGTGCAATTATCAGCTCTAGTGTCTCTTTCTTCTACTGGGTAAATGGAAAGGGAAAGTGGAACTTCACCGTGAAGACCCCCGACAAACCCCAAGTCAAGCAAGTATTCAAAGCAATGTCACCAGCAGTGGGAAAAACAGAGGCACGTGACTCCTGATGCAAACACTGAGGACACATGGCTTTGGATGCCTTCCGGCCAAAATGTACCACCACCTACTTCTGAGGAATCACCTGACAGACTCAAACTGAAAGGCTCTTCATGAAACCACGGCTTGCCTTCAAAAATGCCCAAATTATGCATGACTGCAAGATGGAAACAGCAAGATGTGCTTCTGCAGTAGGTGCTAGACCGGACAAAGACATTCGCTTCTTTCACTATAAAGGATTTTGATAGTAGAAAAACAGCAAAATGTGGAAGGTTTGTAGATCAGATAGCGGTGCTTATCAATACTGATCATTTTCTGGTTTTGATGACAGTACTGTCCTGCACAGAGTGTGGCTGTTTGTGTTGAGGGATACTCTCTTGGGCGTCACTTGTAACTTGCTGAAATAGTTCAGAGGAAGACAGCTGTACGTAAGTGGACAGGGGAAGAGAGAGAGCAGACTAAAGCCACCGGGGAAACGTGACGTCTGGGGAATCTGGGTGAAGGGGCATGGAAGAGTCTGGACTATTCTTGCAACTTTTAAGTACGTGACGTTATCTCAAAATAGTTTACAAATTTAAGAAGTACAAAAACCTAAAAAAAACCATGTCCCTTTCAGATGAGAAAAATAAGTGTGGGGATTAAAAATGTGCAGGGTACTGAGAAAATCTGCAGTAATTACTTTTAAGTGAAATCAGTGGTTATGCCGAGTGCTAATTGGAAGTTGGCACGGCTCCAGGTCGCTGACACTGTCTCCCAAATTAACCCAACAAACTGGACAGCAGAGCAATAAAAGGTGTTTTCATTATTGTGTGGTCGTAAATGAGAAGCAGGAACACTCCAAATAATGCCGAGCCTTCCACCTGCTCTACAAATAAGGATTTTTTTTCCACCAGCTTTACAAACTAAAAAATCCTATCTCCTGCCTAAAGGCAATCATCCTACAAACACCTACAAGTTAACAAAATATCAGGACAATACGTGCTGCCGCTGCTGCTGCCATTGGCAGTCCGCTGGCACCGCCGGGCACCATCTCCATGGCGCTTGCTTTCAGAGAGCAGGCCTGTCCTGTGACAATAAGCTAACTGCACTAGCCACAGGGCGACATGACAGAGTGAGATCATGCCTCTGCCCCCAGGAAGTGCACTTGTGGAGAAATTGTGGAATGAAGGCGCGAGCTCTGAAAACTCCCAGAGGGCTCCGCGTGGGCAAGGAACTGATTGGAATGCCCGGCCACCCACAGGAGTGCAGATTTCAATCCAACCGAGGGAGACAATCTCTCTTTTTCACTTGTGGTGCTAGGATCGAATCCAGGGCTCTCCCTGCGCATGCTCAGCAAGGGCTCTACCACCGAGCTACATTCCCAGCTTAAAGAGACACTTTCCAGGTAGAATAGGAGGCCCTCTGGGGTAGCAAGCTTCTCATCACCGAGTATAGTCAAGTATTCAGATGCGGGGGAAGTCCACATAATTCGTCAAGTATCATAAGAACTGTAAGTTCTCACATTATCCAGCTCCATTTAGAACCTCTAAGCTTGGGTTCCCAGCAGCACCACCATGAGCAGGTGTCTTAAGCACAGCACAAACACAGGGCCCATGCTTGCTGCGGGGGCCACCCTGTGAGATTCCCAGGCTTCTCCCCACTAGATGACATAGCACCCTGCCCCCAGTGGTGACAACACAAAGGTGCACAGACTTTGCCACATACCCCCTCCAGCTGAGAGTCACTGCTCTAAGATCACTTCCCTGAGGCAGCGCGCTCACAGCATGAAATACTATAGGACTTCAGAGGGAGCGACTTCCAGCCAGAGCAGGTGAGACTGGAGACAGATCTGGGGTCGTGTTTAGGGCCTTTGCCTAGCATGGGCTGGGTTTGACCCCCAGTACCCTTCCTGCCCAAACAAGAGTGAACAGTGGGGCTTTTTAGGAGTAGGGACGATGCAGGCCAAGGTGTGGCTGTAGGCCAGGAGATGAGGATCCCAGGAGGCCAGCGGGCCAAGAAGACGGGTTCACCAGGAGATAGGGCTGGGGGTATCGGCAATGTTATAATGTGTTGAAAGAATTACAAAACTGAAGTCAAGATTGCATAGGTAGAGTCTTGACCTATTCATGTCATAGTAAAGTTAACCTTAAACACAGCCCCGGAAGAGACAATGTCCAGCGAACATGGTGGCTTGCTAGAGAGTTAGCACACACCACACACGACCAAGTTCTCCATGAGAAAAGGCACTGGCTAGATGAGAATCTTTTACATGTTTACTTTTATATGCCACTGCTCTCTACGATGACACAGAGCTGACTGATTTTAAAGCATATTTGAAGCTGGGTGTGGTGGCCACACACCTGTAATACCAGTGACTCAAGAGGCTGAGGCAGGAGGATCACAAGTTCAAGGCCAGCCTCTGCAATTTAGTGAGACCCTGAGCAACTTTAGTAAGACCCTCTCTCAAAACAAAAAATAATAATAATAAAAAAAGGGCTGGGATGTGGCTCAGTGCTAAAGCACTCCTGAGTTCAATCCCTGGTATACGTATATACATACATACATTCCCATGTTCACACATACACGCTGAAAGCAGGCAAGCTGGGAGCCAGCAGCGTGGGAGTGGAGAACAGCACTCAGGCACGGGCAGAAACGCATCCTGTCATGGGAAAGATGGCAGCTGGTTCCACCAACTCCAGCAACACTCAGCCCCCAGACAGTGGGGCCCTGCAAGTGTGCGGCTGCCCCCCGTTTCAGTCTAGCACGGGAAGCATGTCTCAAGTGTTGATGGGGGTCTGAGAGAACTGGGGTGTGGCATGGCAGGGACCACGGATCAAGGTTGGAGATAACCCTCAGAACCAAGCTTTCCCCACGCAGTCGGTTCTCCTGTCCGTGAGGGCTCAGGTGTCCTCACAAGGGCTCAGGTGACAGGGTCGGCTGGAAGCAGGGACGGCAGTGGCCTTCCTCTGTCAGGCGCTGGCTGGGAGGGTGGCAGGCAGGGCCGCTGGCACCCCGTTACCCAGCAGGCCCCCGAGGGCTGAGGACACTGGGCTGAAGGAGGCTGCAAACACCCTCCTGTTCTGCCACCCAGCTCAGCCAAGCGACAGGCGATTTCAGCAGCTCAGAGGAGCAGGAAACTCCTCGCTTTCCCAAGACATACCCAGCGACCTCCTCTCCATGTAAACCAGCCATTCTAAGTAACCCTCCCGCTCCACCCACAAAAGACTCTGCCCCGGTTCTCCACGGGTTATAACTCGGCATCACGATCTAGGGACATCTAATGATCCCACCTTATCTCTCAGCGAGCCTCAGATGCCACTTGAGTCTTTTTTATTTAGACGCAGATTCACTAAAGTATATTTTATTTAAAAAAGAAAAAGAGAGAGAAAGAGAGATAAAGAGCCCCAAATATTTACATTTAGAGGAGATTTAAAATAAGAGCGCTACAAATGCAAATGAGCCTGTGCAAACCAGAGCTCTCAATCTTGGCCTCCCGCCAGGCTGCCACCAAATTGCAGCACATTCCGCCAAGCAGCCACACTAAATGGAGGCACTTTCTCCAGGGCTAGAAAAAGTTATTATGAGTGTGAGCTTTGGCCATTATTTCACAATTGAGTTAACCTCCATCCCAAGGGCAACATTTTGCAGCTGTCTGCAGTGATCAGAACTTTCTTCTCATTCTCCTCTCCTTATTTTTTGGTAAATTACCCTTTACATTTTGCCTGCAACTAGGGACATCAGAGGGAAGTGTGGTCTACTTCATGTTGTTGTGAATAGCTGCTGCTTTTTAAAAAGCAAAAATGAAAACAGCAGAGTCATGTGACGTTCCCTCAAATTAGTTACAAAATGATCCAAAGGTAAGGTGCACACATATCATAAACAGCACTGCCACTCCCCACTGAAAATGTCCCCTTTC